CGTTTCAAATTCGCTAGGGACTTTGAACTTTTTCTATCGCTGCAGTGCTCTTTTTTTTTTTAAGGTACACTGTCAATTAAAATTCTGAGACTGCTCCCGATTTGACCCTACATGTCCGCGTACTCACTGTCTCCCCATGTTCATTAAACAATGATAATTGTCAACATTTTGTCCAATTTCATTTTTTCTGTTACTACATTTCTTTTTTTTTTTAAATCTGAAAATTTCTAAATAGAACCTCCACATAAATCCGTTTTTGTGACTGCTTAAACCGCAATCAACACCGTTTTGGTTTAACCCTGAAAGTACCAGTTTGCTCCCATGTGGAGGAATTAGGTAATTGTTGCGAAGTCTCCTGCTTAGGGACATAATCTGCACCACAATGTTAAGGAAATGTAAAGGAGACTACTGAAAACCAAATCTTGTGTATGATGTCAGGTCCTTGACACTTGAAAGAAAACTAGGTCTACGACCAGACATTTTATTTTTTCGTTAACATATTATGTCCTGCCACCCGCTGCTTTTTCCCACAGCAGCAAAGTCGGAACATAAACGCCGCCCAATAGGTGACAGGTTTTCCTTTCTTCGCATTTTGCAACGAAAACATGATCCCAACTCCCTTAAGACCCGGCCTTCGCACCTATCCCCCAAAAGAAAATAACCCTTTCCCCTTTTCCCCCCTCAGTTTTCGTTCGTAGATTTTAATCCCCATACAAGCGAGGATTAGGTATAACGTGAATGAGCAAAACCTGCCAACCGCCAAGCACATCGGTACGAGGATAAAAAATAATGGAGAGAAAAATCCCCCGTCACAATAAAATGGCAGTCATTGGAATCGACAGCCGGAGACTGGGGAGGTGGAAAGGTTCTGAAATCATTTGTTCAGTTTGCTTAATTGCCGTTGGCAGTGAACCTATAGGCGATTACACACACTGTCACAAATATGTTTTCGTTTCTTGCCTAATCCCGTTGACGTGTTATTCCTTGCGATGTCTGCTTGTACTTTTTCTGCCGCCGTTCAACACCCTTCGACTTTGGGTTCGCTTCGGGCATTTACAGCAAGAGCAATGGTAAAGGGCGTTTATAAAACACCCACTTTGACTAGTGGATCGGTGTGGGTTGGGACGGGGGCAGGAAGGCATTTTGATCGGGCTGTGAACTTCAGTTTGCCTAGCCCGAAAAGGTTTGCCGTGCAAGCTGCAGAACCAAGCTAATCAACTAACAATTTTATTTCTTAACCAGGGGTTTCATTTATATAACTTTTTGGTTCTTTTTCGCTTGTTCTTCGCAATTTTTAAAATTTTCTTTAATTTTTGTTTCATTACAGTTTAGGCCCATACGATAATCGGCATTTTCGCTTGTTCAACTTGGCATTTTCTTGACTTTCCTTGCATTTACGGTTGCTCTTTTTCGATTGTATTTCATGTTGCAGATGTGTCTTTTCCTCTAAAATACTTACGCCATAAATATCTTTAAAACGAGTTTAAATTTTATCAACGGCCACAAATTTCAATCCCTTTTGCAATTTAAGCCACTGATGAAGAGAAAGATAGCCATTCAAGTATCGAGTCCGCGTCAAGACCTCTCTTCAGCGAAACGCACACCGCACTATTTATTTCGTTTGAAACCAGACTAGGGCTAAGTTTGAACCCTATATCTCAATTTGTTTAGAAGTTTGGTAAGGTGGGACCATAGAGGGATTTCTGCTCATCGCATTAACCTTATCGATACGTGCCATGGGAAGGCTTAATGTATCATGCAGCCATTTTTTTTCTTTGAAAAAAAGGGGTTGTGTTGTAGCACCCGTATCAAAACAGGTTGATTTATCGTGCAAAAAGGGCGCGATACTTTAACACAAATAAACGTCGTTCAGGAGTGCAGGCACCGTAGATGTTCGAGGGGGATATAGTTTTGGTGCTGGGAATTGGGCATACGTGCAAAATCGTAGGCACCCTAGTCGGTTATGGGGGTAGGTTCTGATGAGAGACACACCAAAGGTGCTGAGCGCAGACGGCATACCTGACCTGAACAAGCGTGACCAGGGTGCTTCACAGAGAAGCGAAAGTACTCCGGGCCGGGAACTAAAGACCCCTCTTGCTTAGCAGTGTTAGTTTTGTAGTCTATCACAAGTCCTCAAAAGTCCACACAAGTCCTCACAAGTCCATCACATGTCCTCACAAGTTTATCACAAGTCATCCAATCTCGTCACGTTGCAAGCTATATCAAAATAGGTACATGTGATAAAAGCATTCCTTTGTTTGTTTTTCATTCTTTGTTACTTATATGATTGGATTTGTACGACTTGTAATTTTAATACTGCCTTCTAAGTTAAAGTGTGTCACGAGTTAACTTTTCTTGTCAGAAGAATGCTGCAGCCGTGTCAGAGCATTGCTGAACGTAAGAATTTTTGCAGTGCGAAAGAGAGATGGGAGTGTGGCCTAGTGGTTAGGGTTTGTGACTCCCAATATTATGGGTTCGGGTTCGAGTCCGTTCTCCCACATGTGTTCTTGGGCAAGCCACTTCACCCCTTTTGCCTTACTCCACCCTGTTGAATAAATATATTAGATCTAAGAGCTCTATGCATGCACCTGTTCCTTTTAGGGATAGTCCCTTCAATTGCAGATCCGCAAATTTCTCACAATTTTCAATTCTAAAATTAACCTTTCTCACAAATGTGAGGGTAATGAAACCCAAGGATTCCTCAAAAGCGCCCTAGGCACTGTAGCTCGCAAGCCTGAAGAAACCTGTGGAGAGAAGACAATTAGAAGAAATTACGGTTTTAAAGGTAGGAGGAAAAGCCCAGAAGAATGTTCAGGGGAAAACCCACGGAATCAGGCAGGGACTGAAAACCCAATCCACATGTTGGCACATGTTGGCAGGCGGGATTCGAACCCAGGTCACAGTGGTGGAAGGCGAAGAAAGTACCGCTACGCCAACCTGACTCCCCGTATACGTCTATACATAAGCTCAACATTTCGCAAGGACCTGCAAAATGTCGCGTTATTACATCGGTTTTACACTGATCTGTCAATCTTGGGAGAATTGCACAACCAAAAATCAGAACAGAGCTATTTTTTTCCAGACAGCGGTCTTTTCAAATGCAACCGCCTGAATATAACATCAACTTCTGTTGTCGGAAGGCCTGCTTTCGGAAGGCCCAGCAACATGGCGGGTTCATTGTTGGGCCATTAAGTTTCGAAAGAAAGAAAAGGTCGAAACGAATTCTCTTCAGGTCCGTCGAGCAACCGTTTTCCCATAGGCCTACCAAACGAATCGGGGTGTAGAGGTTCCGTAAATATGGCATGGCAGCTTTAGAGAACATGTTCATGTTATGCAGAGGTGACTGCTCTATGTTCCGACACCCCTATGTTCCGACAACCCGACCATAAGATTGTGTTACTCCCGGTTAGGGTTAGGGTTAGGGTATAGGGTTAGGAATAGGAATATGTGCAGTCGGAACATAGGGGTGTCGGAACATAGGAGTGTAACCTTATATCCAGAGACCCTCGTGAAAGTATTGGAACATGCTGCGTGTATGTATTTACAGTAAGTCTCGTTTTAATACCTCAAACCTCAGGGGATTGTAGGCCTATAAAAGAAATTATGCTAACCGGATTTTCAGGTATAATTATAAAATTCCCGATTTTTCCACATTCAAGTCCGATTTACACGTACACACTGACCAATAAACGGATTCAGTGGTTAACCAGATTAACAGCTAACCTTGTGGGAAGGGACGGGGTTCCAGACCCCGGCTTCGTCACCAGCCTCGGAATTTTTTTTAAGGTAGGCCTACACTCTAAAATGTCCCGAATCAGACTTGACCCGGAACTCCCGAGTCATGATTTGACCTGATATTTTGCAGGGTCACATTGACACTTTCTGGGTTAAAAAAAAGACACTTGCGGCAAGGTTTCAGGGTTAAAATGACCGGGAAATGATTCAAGAGTAGTGTCACTTTGACTCAAAATGGTGTCATTTTAACCCAAAAAGAATCAGGTTGAGTATGACACGGATTCCGTGTCAAGTCTCACCCGGGACTTCTGAGAGTACACCTGACCTGAGTGATTCCGGCTTAATATTAGGCCTATACCGTGCATGTTCTGTTTCAGGAACAACGAATCATACAAAACAGCTATATTTTTTAAAGTAGTCCCGCTTGGTTACTGCATTGAAATGATTCCGGAGCAAGATAGCAGCCGAAGCCCGGAGGTTGGACCCCGCCCCAACTGTTATTTTCCAGGGCTGCTTTTAGTTGGCATTTCAATTTAATGTAATGAGTGATGTGCGTAATATTGGAAGAGCTAACTAGTATCCGTAAAGGCCTGAAACAAGTACATTCCATCTCGGGAATGTAATTTCAGGACGGGGAAAATTTAGGAGAGCTCAGACATCATCGGGTTTTACTTTTAGAGGGTTCGTGAATGAAGCTTGCCTTTCACCTATGCTTTCACTGATAGACCAAAAATGCCAAAAGACCGTAGACACACTGAAAGCGCTGGCGGAATAAAGTACTGCAAAACAAGTTGAGCACAGATTAATATCAAAAGCAGGAACGTCAAGCGCAATATCTCCCCGTGTCCGTGCTGTCACGCACGGACTCCTAACCAAGTACCCCAGGGGGGCCAGACCGGTCACCTTAAAGAGCAAGGACGGCCCCCACTATTCTCTCGTTGTGTCCTCACCTTTAGAACCCTGGGCATGACCACGGGGATCTACCAGTTGCTCGTGTGTAACACACGACACCCGTAACGGCTACACAGGCCCCGCCTCGGTATGTTGCTGTCAACTGGTGACCTACTGGGTGCGCTCGTTCATGCGCCATACAGCACCCGTTGTAACTTGGTCATGAATAATGAATAAGTTGAGCCGACGGTCACCGCTTGTACGTGTATACGCGCACTGATAGTTCGTGGTGCAAAGTTACTTATGTTTATTCATAAGGAGGCGGAGTCAGACTCGTGCAGTGTGGTACTGTCAATACCTAGTGAATCGTGCGGTTAAATGATAAGTTGTCAGTTGGAAGTCAACAGTGAGAAAGGCTGGTCGTGTGTTGAAGAAGTGCATCCGATAAAAGGCACTCAGTGAATACCGATACACACAGTTTGCTACTGGGCTAGGCTGACGAGGAAAATTGTGTTGCACCGTCCACTAGCTGACAAGGGAAATCTGTTTCTGTGGATTACCTGGATCACAAGCTGTATCCTCAAGAACCCACGCAAGGCATCAGCTAATCAACTGACTCCCACAACCAACAACATCAACAGCATCTTGTTGAAAAGCTACGCCGTGCCTTTCCTCGCAAACTCCTGTTTTGGAATGCTCTGATGATCACCAACGGATAATTACTACTAATTTGCAGAAAGTTACTCCGTGAAGAGACACAAAGTCGATCCTAATAAAGACAGACTGAAGGCTTAAAATAATGGAAGGCAAAAAGGATACCACTTTGACGAAGATCTTCGTTGGCGGCTTGCCTTTCCACACGACCAATGATAAGCTACGGGAGTTCTTCGAGCCGTTCGGCGAGATTGAAGAAGCCGTGGTCATCACAGATAGAAACTCCGGCAAGAGCAAGGGATACGGCTTCGTAAGTACCTCTTTAAATTCTTGGCAGATACTTCTTGAGAATGTTCTTGTGAGTGTATACTGGGTATTTCTTACCGTAGCTCAAAGTTTAAAGTGAGACATCGGCAGGGATGTAGGAGTAGTACTAGCTCAGTTGGTAGACCCCTGGAAATGTTGTCATGGGAGTTAGGGTTAACGTCCCTGTGTATTTATGCTCCTCATTCAATCATTTAGGTATCCAGAGATACTTGAAACGAGCATTCATGAGCAAAGTTGCTCAAGATAGACCTGTACTCGGCCAACTCGACCTACCTCCATGGTCAGATTTGTTACTAAATTTGCACCCTGAATTCGGGGGTAAAAACTGTAAAACTTTTCACAGTTTATCCCAAGCCCGAAATGCCATGCAGCTTGCGCTAACCGCAAAATGTCTTTAATAACTTAAGCACCAATGGAGGAATGAATACAAACTGCGGAGTTAAGTTTCACACGGAATTTGTGGGCCTGTTTTATTTACGATCTCGCTTTCTGGTTTTGATGGCTTGATCTGGCCTTATCACGCAGAAACTGAAGGGTAAAATTGTTTTGTTACAGACATGTAATATGGTTAACGGTGATCACCAGAGTTTGCAATTACTAATACAAATTGTGAGCGAGAAGAGATAGGTTATTTACCAAGCACAGTGTATGCTGTCTGTAGCTGTGTGTATGGTGTACTTTACGTGTGCTGTACTTTAGACACGCACGTTGCGAAAATGGTGACTCAGTCACAGCGTCCGTAGTAACATGACGTGTGCAGTTCTCATATGCATTGTGCAGCAAGGCGTATCACAAGGCCCCGGGCAGCCTCTAACGAAACCTGATTATAACAGGCGCCACAATGGAGCTGCTCCTGCCTATTGTTGGCCTCGAACGTGTCTACATGTACTCGTAGCCGTAGTGTACGAGAGCCTCAGAATGAAGTACATGAATTTATATGTACAATGTACATGTGTATGCATTTACATTTTCTGGGGAGTTGCATTTTGGGATAAACTTGGTCTTATCTCCGTTTGCATTTTGGCAAAATATACCTGTGAGGCTCTGTTTCACATATGCAATGCCTTGTCATTTCTGTGTAAAGTCTGAATTTGCGTCTAGCTTGAACACATTCTCCTGACGACGGGCAGAGCGTACTGTTCGAGTCCCTCCGGTTCTTTTCAGAACCACACATACTCACATGGTGTCACCGCAAACTTATCTTGTCTTAGAACAGACTTGTCTTGATATCTCACCAAAGTACTCGATGTATGTTTCATTTTGACTGAAACTGTTATTATTTGTTCATACAACAATATCGTCATTAGCTCATGTATTGCTGTACAGGGTGAGTCAAAAAAGCGGAACCCAAACCCCAAAAATTATATTTCATATTTAAAAAAATATGTGGCACCAAAAATAATAATGACTGGAAAGCCAATTTCATAAGCTACTTTTGGATGAAAAAATTACTGAAATTGGTCAATCCGTTCAAAAAATATCACCATTTAAACACAATGACCCTAAAATCTGTATGTTATTTTGTCTTACATTGTACAACCGTAATGATGTTTTAAGGCACGACGGTTTTGACTCGCGATAGGCCTAGTTATCGTGGACAACTTGGTTGCTTTGTGAACCATTAGAGAAAGGCCAATTAATGAACGCAGTATGTAGGGCCTACAGTACGCCGATGCTGACTAATAAGTTTGGCTAGAACTTAGCAGGTATAGGTAGCGCACTGAATTGAAACAACGAAAAAGTTCAAAGGAGTGTGGGAGCATGGTGGGAGGTAGTCGAACGTAGAGTTCATGAGAAGCTATTGTAAAATACCTAGTGGACTTAAATACATTGTTGTGTACCATCTACCACCCACCGTACTATATTCTTTTCACAAGTACACTGAATATTTTTTTCTCAAAAGTGGCGAGACGTGCAGTTTTCCCAATGGGTCTTCAACTCTTGTGCAGCGCGCGGCGTGAATACAAAAAAAAAACTGAAAAGGTGTAGGATATGCCATTCATCATTTTGCTGTGTTGATGACCCAGATGCTGTGAGTAGCCGCGGGGAAGAATATCAACCCAACCCCCATCACAGTTTAACCAACGCGCGGTCTATCTTTTTTTTTTATTATCCCACGTATAGAGAAAAAGAAGTGTTCAAGATGAAGTGAAAACACATCCATCACCCACTTCAATTTTCGAAGTGTGTAACAATAATTTTGTCCAAATTCGATTACTTCGGGGGGTAAAGACCCGTAGGCTTTGACAAATAACATGTTTGCCCCCCGTGACCGAACGGGTATGTCTTGTTGGTTGTGTGGGTGAAAGCTACCACATTAAACACAAACTCAGTAGTTTTTTATTTACTGAATCTTATCATGTTGTCGCCTGATGATGGGTTGACCTTTTTCGGTAAACATGCAATTCGCACACAACATGAGCCGAATAGAGAACCCATTACAGAAAGATGCGTAGATGCGTGGTCTGCACTGATGCGCCCATCTTTGTGTTTTCAAATCTCTGAATGACCTTTGGCGTAAGCTCCGAAAAACATCAGTCTTTTTTTTATTGATAGACTTTCTGTCTGTGCCTTACTTTTTGGTCACCAACAGAAGAGGGATACAACATTCAATTTCTCCTTACACTGGTGTAAAGCTTCATATACTCTGTCGTTTCTTTTGGAGAACAATTGAGTGTAATAGAAGCATTTCTAAAAATATTTTGCAACACATCATGCACGGTCCAGCTATCTTTGTTTATGGCATCTCTTCCTACGTGTGAAAGGCATCATACAGTACGAATATGTCCACAGCATTCACATCCAAGTAAGGCAAGGAGCTCAAAAGGTACATCCCTCCACAAAACAAATTAACCTGTGACGAAATAGCTAGTTCATATGCCTATAGATGCCGATTGCACATACTCATGGAAACCATTTCCCCAATGCACGACCATCGCATCACACCCGGTGTGACCTGGAATTCGGACTTTCATCAGCACTCCAATAATTCGCTTCAAACACGACAAAAAAATTCTAGGGAACAAACCGGTGCATGAAAAGTTAGAGGATATGCTTACACGAGGTGTGTTAATGAACGTATCACGAAATTGACAGTCAGTGAAGATACCCGCCGGCGGGAACCATTTTTGTTCCTTCATGCATGGCGTGTCACTCAATGCATTCCCTAGAACTTGGACCTACAGCACCGACTTTCGCTCCAAAAAAGGACAAAACTTCCTAAGGAACCTAACTGGTGCATAAAAAGTGGGGGAAATCCCTCCACGTTGCCAGTTAGTAGACATCAGCGAAGTAGACAGGTGTCGATTCAAGATGCACGCGGGGACAATTTTGTTCCTTCATGCGTGACGTGTCACACAGTGCATTACCTAGAACTTGGACCAACAGCTCTCAAAATTGTACAGAACTTCCTGGGGGTAAAGCTTAGCCATGCATGTTAATAGAGGGGCTACCCCTTCACGTTCAAATCAAAATTGACGGGAGACATAATTTTGGACAGTTGTTGATTGAAGATGGATGAGGGGTTCTATTACTTGCCCCCGGCGCATGATGCACCACACAATGCACTACCGGGAAATATACCAATTTAGTGCCCGGAATCCGGATGCAACAAAACTTCCGAGGGTCTCAAACTGATTATGAAAACTTAATAAGGGGATATCCCTTCAAGTCACTCATAAATAGGAAAACAAGCGAACATATTGTTGTCATTTGAAGATACCTGTGGGAATCATATTCATATCTCATGCATGACGGATCACACAATACATTACCCGGATCTAGGAACAACAATAGTAACATTCGCGCCCAAAATGACAAAACGTCCAAGGGCTCTCAAATAGTGCGTGAAAACAGAGGGAAAATCCTATACACATTGCTCAAATACGTACGACGAAATGCAGAGGCGTCGCTTGAAGTTTGTATAGAAGTGTTTTCATGCTGGAAATTATCAATCATCTTCGACGCCCAACAAAATGGCAAAGGTGTAATTGTTCTTTTCGCGGAAGGTTAAAAAGGTTTGGTAGGTCCGTACCACACGGGGTGTTTTTGGAGCAGTAACGGTTCGTATTTCAGCGCCAAGACAGTGCAGTTTTCTTTAGATCCACTTGTGTTTTTTGGACCGTGGTTAGACGTTGGAAAATTTAAGAGAAGGGAGGTGACAAATTGAAACGCTTGACAGTGATGGAGCATCCGGAATATACACACATTCATGTCGAATGTAAACCGCGGGGAACGTGTTGTTAAAAGTTGCCTGTCATGATTTGTTTTCGAAGTAGAGAGTAATGCATGTTATTTGGTCTACAAGTCTTTTGGTGACAACTCTGACAATAGGTTAAAAATTGGTCGTTACTGAAATTTTTTGACCGTCGTTATGTTGACATCTTGGGTGGACTTGTACGGGCTTGTACGCACTGTCTTGTCCGTGGCTTGCCTCCAACAATGTAGCATGTCGAGCTTTCTTTGGGTGGAAGAGGGCTGATCAGTTTAGAGATTATAGCATCCACTGTACACAACCTCGAAGACGTAAACCATAAGAGGATCGGTGGGAGATTAAGCAGGGCTAAGCACTAATCGCCTTCTAGAGGGATTTATGATGATTAGGGCTCACCTGGCTGTGAATTTATAGGCTGGTGACGTACAGCTAGACCGCTGTGTTTGTATTATACTGGGAGAGGGGACACGTCCGTATAATTTTGTATGTCATTGTAACACAGGTTTTGGCCTCGATTTAGCTATTAAAGTAAAACATAAAAGAGGAATTAGGGGGGCAGCCGGACATTGTTGTGCCGAGGTACGCCACGTGTGGTGTTTCCCCAAGTCCTGACTAGCTTTACGAACATGCTAGAAGTTGGTATAGTTTATTTGCAAAACTAGGTAACCTAAAGTAATTTTGTCGGCCATTTTTATCCATCCCTTGGCAGAACTCAATCTCGCTGTTTGTGTAGGCCCTGCGCTTAAAATGCAGTGAAGGTTTATGCCCAACATTAACCAAGGGGTTTGCAGATGGGATGTTAACCCTAACGTAAGGGCTCTTTGGTTACTACTCAGAAGTATTTTGCTTTAGGTGAGGTTGGGGTTAAAGGCACCTGTGAAGTCACAGCAAGGCACTGGAGTATGTTTTCAAAAAACAAAAACGAATGCATCCGCAAACAATTTATCAGAGTTTGGTAAGCTAGTCACAATAAAGTTGTAGAAAACGCAAGTCTTCGGAGATGATCAACTGCCCCTGAATCCCACACATCAGGATTTAAATGTGCTATAATGCTGATGGTGGTTCTAAAAATCGAAAGTATTTTGTGCAGTCAAATTAAAGTTAAGCGGATAAGGAGTTATCCTAACGTGTGACCTTACGCATGAGGTATGTCAAGCGTAATCGAAAGCTTCTCTTAGGGTGCTTCCGAAATCATCTTGTTGGGAGGCACTGAATGAAATCAAAAGAATTTTGGCTAACACTTCTTTTTTGCCGTACACGGATCTTGATTGAAAAGATGTACCCATAATTGCACTGATAAGTGCACGTGCACAGATCGTAGAAAAACCATTACTCGAATTGAATTGCTCTTTCCTGCTAAAACCCAAGGTCTGTGGAAAGAAAGAGCATATTGAGCTCCGTAATAAGAGGATATCGCATTGTGAAGTGTCCACCGATGTATCAGCTCGCTTGGTCCTAACAATGGTGTAACTTTATCGCCCTGTTTGTACTCGTTAAGGCAACTTTATAAGAATGCAAGTTAACACACGACCATCAAACTGAAGGAATTTTTTTAATGCAAGCCTCGGTGACGTAAGGGGGAAATTATGATGCATGGTAGACTGAGTACGGCACATTGGAATCTCTGAACAGAAAAAACTCAAGACTAAGGAAGGCACAGCGTGAGAATGAATCTAATCCATGGCCCAATTGACGTCACTAGCTGACTGTGTCCATTGTACATATAGATGAAGCTTAACCAGTATAGTCAAATGATTTAGAATTTGGTTCAAGAATCTCACAGCCAGAACAATGTTGTAGGTCCCTTAAATATCAGAATTAGGATGGTATCTGTACCCTGCCTGCTACTGAAAATCCTTCCACTGAAGTGAAAGGGATGTACGGAGCATTTGAATGATGGGTTATATCCCTCCATGGTTATATCTTGAAATAGCCATGATTTCAAAGGGCAGCGTTTGTCTCGGAAGAGTCTGGTCCCTCTGTAGGCTCTTTTCAGAGTGAATATTGATACAGGGACCCAGACATGACAAGAGGCGTGTGTTATCAGGAACTAGTGATGTTAGGTATGAATGCTCTACCAAGTCAAGTCGTTGAACCGTTAGCAGAGACTCAGACAATTTAGGTTTTTATGTCCTTTGCAAAAATCTGCTGAGAAACCAGTCAAAAGAGCGACAGGACAATAAATGGAAGGTATTTAATGGAAACTTGCTTTGCTTAGCAACTATTTATGTGCTTAAGCAACTGGTTGGACTCAATTTGGATTGGTCTCAGAGTTTCAGAGACGAGAAATGCAGTACATGTATAGGTCTATACAGTTTCTAGCTGGTTGTGGTTCTTGGTCCCAGACACGCACGAGATTGTCGCTTGTGTTGGGACACTCTTTCGGTCGGAAGCGCCATGTTCATTCAGGATCGCAAGGTGACAATAACGGCACCCAACTTGTTTATCTTTCATTTTGGCGGCCGGTCCCCCATCGTGCAATGAGTGACATTGCAAGGTTGGCCCTGGGCTGGTCCTTGCACTTTGGTGGCAGTTTTCACTCCTTTCCAACAAGTTACACCAACTATTACGTTAAAGTGCCGTTTGCCTAAGCCAATGTTTGAAATGCACCATTTTCTTTTGCTGTATATATATATGGTGGAGTGTATACGTACATGTACATTATAGGTACAAAACCTTGCAAATTATCACGTTCTATGGTAGGCCATTTGAAGAAAAAAAATCGTTCACATCGTTGTCGTATCTCGTAAAAACTTCAGTACTGTATAGTAAAGGTTGAAGAGCTACGAATGCAAGAAATGAGATGTTTGTTTTGCCAATTACAGTAAGTCCAGAACAAGGTCAACACGTCATAACATTATTATTCACAGCAATGCCTCTAGGTATAAGGTATCACCTCGTAAAAATTCCAATGGTATTGAAAACATGCAGCAGACATGGAGTGTCGACGAATGGTCGACAACTTGGAAGTAAACTCAGATCCTTGCAATGGTGCATGTTCTAAGATCAGTGGATGTGAAATTGTGCTCATAATGACACTCGCTGAACAGATACAACATCGTGTGGAGGGCAAGTAGTGCGAAATAATTGCCTCAACCATGCATCAACAGTGATTGTTGGATGATATTGAAGGATTAATGCAATGGTCACCTCTCCACTAAACAAATTCAAGAAATAACGGAGGATTTTGGAGGATTGAGGCTGAATCCAAGTTTTACATGGTTAGCAATCGGAGGATAGTTTGCAGGATGGAGGATGGTTCCTAGCCAAAAGGGCCAATTACGCATAGTATTTCTGACGGGTTAGTTTCCTGTCGAGTTTGATGACCAATGAGAGAAGTTCGTTAGCCTCATGAATATGTATAAGTGCAAGTTAAAAATGATAAGGCCTAAGTTACTTGAGTTTTGTCGAGCCTTTTGATATCGGTTGGCTTAAAAATAAATAATTGTTTTTATCAGATGGAGGACCTGAGAAGAAACCTCATTTCAATTTTGGTTGGATTTTTTTTAAATTATCTTTTCAGGTAACGATGGCAACCAAGGATGCAGCGAGGTTAGCGTGCGCAGACGCTAACCCCATCATCGATGGGCGGAAGGCCAACGTCAATCTGGCCATTATTGGCGCCAAGCCAAGAAACAACGCCACACACAACAGTAAGTCTTCAAGTTTTGATTGGCTGAAGTAATGGATCTCAAAAATATTTAGGCTCGTTCGCGTGTTTATGCAAACTCCCCGGGAAACACTTCGTTGCTTCACAGGAAATGAGCGTTTTCTCCAAGCATCGGCTTTGTTTTGGCTTCGGCACCTGGAATCTTTTAATTCCCAAACATATACTTTTGGTCTCTTTTAAAGAGGATTTTGTAAAAGAGGATTTGATGTCCTTGAAGTAGAACATGTCGAGAAGCAGTCCTTCAATACAGAGGCCCAAATTCACCTAAGCCGAATCCGCGAAGCCATTGTTTGGAAACACCCCTAAACTCATGAACACCGTCAGTAAACATTATTTGTTTGACGCGCATGCGTGTTTGGAGTCACGTCTTCTTTTCGCGGCCGAGTACGAAAACAAGCTGGAAAACTCGCGCTGCGTTTCTCACCAAATGGTGCGTGACTCCCCTCCAAATATCAGTCTATGGTTAGGCTCACTCTTTAAACTAACACCACACGGAGAATTAGCACCCTTTTACAAAACGTATTAAGGTTCCGGGGTAAAATGTCTAAGGCTTTGTCGAAGCGAACTCTTGAAAGTTGTTTAGCGATCGGTGGCCCATTCAACAAATTGGGGTATCGTGATCAAGCCCTTTTTTCGAGGAAGCTCGTTTTCTTCCGTTTTTTGTACCGCCACGGCACATTGTTGTCTGGGTTTGGAGTGAAAGAGTACTCATTCTGGGTCGCAATTACATATCAGACACCCAAGGATTTCCGGTTTCGCTTGAGTTGATATCAAAATGGGGACAAAAAAGAAGGGAAAAACGTGGGTTGCGAAAGCTTTGGCGCGTAAACACCGACAGTTTCTCGATGCTGAAAATGGCACGTGGCACCGCCGGCAAGCTGAGAAAAAGTTGTGGAAGCTCTTTCATGATGACTTCAGTGAAGTTTGAGCACGTTTGCAGAGTCGGATTGTTTTCCTAAACAGGATGAACAGAAGTTTCCCAATTGGCCTCACAATCCCCCCCCCCCCCCAAAGGAAATTGAGAGATGACTGAAATTAGGCGTCTAGATCATCAGACGAAATTAGCCATCTTCAAAGACAGACAAGGCATACCTGGCGTATTCGAGACGTCAAGTTACCAAAGCGGTTCTTCCCTTAGTACCACACAAGTCACAAAAGAGATACATGTAAATCTGCATAGTGCTACCGCAAATATAACACCTATCAGTTCACAAACAAGAGTCCAAGATTTGGACTGAGGCTTTCTATACCTTACAAAGACCTTTTTCCCAACGCTTCATCGGTGATCAAGAGCTACGATATTAGTCGGCCTAAAACCTCCCACTTTCTGGGGTATTAGATTCGCCAAATCAGATAACACATCAAGTAGCTCTTCAGTGCTAATCCTTAATTTGATACTCACTTTTATGACCGTTTGTCCACCGTTCACGGCAGCTTTTGGGCTCGAGTTCTTATTATGCCCCTAATACTTTCCCTTTTCAACGCGTAGCCATGAGATCCCGGCCGTACAATAGCTCGCCTTCGGAATATTTTCGGGATGGTGTAACTTATTGCCATTCGCCATGTACATGTGTAAGGTAATGAGACTGAGAGAGGCAGGTATAAGTGTCGTGTTGCTGGCAAGGTCTTGTTTTGTGTTGCTGGAGCTGCGCAGGGTCGGCCGCTCAGAGGCTTATTATGCTGTCTTGTTCTTTATAGTGCCTTTGGTTGCGACGTAAACACAATCAGTTCGGGCAACCGTTCAATGCTGTCTGGGATATACAGTTCCATAAACTAGGTTTTCATCCCCGAAACCTCGTTTTAATCTCAGCATTCGCCCTGAGGCCTTACGGAGATGCTAGGCCCCTGACTTTGGGAGACTTCAGCTCAAATATAGAAGGTTCGTCTCCTGCCAAAGGAACGTGAATTTACCGTAAAACGAGGCGAAAGCTTGGAGTATTTTCCATTTCGTTTGGACCTTAATATTTCGAAATTATTCCGAAGCCTGCTCGAAGCCGGGGTTTCAAAAACCTCGTAGAGTATATCCTCCAGACAGTTTCAGTAGTTGATATCGGAACGCATAGTTGTCTTCGGCCCGTTAAAAACAAACTATGGGCTATGTTACAATATTATCCGTTTGGCAATTCCGTCTGAAATGAGGCAGTGCGTAGCCCACGTCGTTTAACATTTAGTCTGGCACCTTTTGAACGCTGGTTTCAAATTTTAGGGCCTAGTATGTCAATTGTCAATTTTCAAAAATTATGATTTGGAATACATGTATATCTTATCGTTCTCATTGGAGTCTAATCAGTGGAAATGTAAACGGGGAACTCTTCCAAAATGTTTACGTGGTTCAAATTTGCGCACTGCCACGCAGACGGACTCGTTTTGATGAAAATTTCTCGTCTTAGTCAACGCTCATTGTGATGGTTTAATTATGTCCACAGATTGATTGATGAAGAAGCAAGCCGTGGTTTTTACTTTTTTTGTATCTGCATTTTCTAAAGACTCTGAACTCAGCATCTATTTCTCATAAAATTGCTCACAAAAAGAGCTGCTTTGCCCTTATCTGAAGCTGTTTTGCCCTTATCTGAAGCTGAATCGTAAACGAAGTTTGAGGTTAAAATGTTCCCGCTTTAAAGAAATGAGGGACAGCCCCAACTCAACAAGTCCTGTTTTCGAAGAAAAAAAACAAACTTTATTTTTTCCGCAAGTTTCCATACAATCTGCCACAGGGGAAGATTAAAAAAATATGGCCTACCTAAGATTGTCGTCGTGTCCCAGAAACTCCGCGGCCCAGCACCATTCAACCGAATCAGTTGTTACTAGTTTGGCGTGCCGCGTTGCCATGGCAGCCGACGTTCCTCCATTATGTGATTGACCTTTGACCTCTGGAAGTCCCTGGGAGGTAGATGCGCAACCAGGCGCGCCAGAAATTTCTTTTTTAAAGGAAAAGTCCCGACTTGGTCGAAGTCTGGTCAATAAAACTTCGCCGCTGTGCGCATTAGAAGGGTATAATGCAATGCGAGGTAAGCTTAGAAAATGCAAAGAGCGTCATATTGTTTGGTTAATTTGAAAAGGCTGAGTTGAGATATAGTATACGCTTGTGACCCAATTAAAAATACTTCCCTGGTAGACATCATCACTTCTATTTAAACAATTCGACACAGAGGGCGGGAACCAACCGAGGTTAGTCACATCGCTGGTTACCGGCAGCTGCACGTTTTGCAAAGTTCAGTTCAGCAGGGAACCAGGTGGTAGCATTTGACTCGTTCGCAGGTACGTGAAAACATTTCGCACTTCATAAAATCTGAAACTCATTTGTCAGGCGCATATTTGGCGAATTTTATGACATTTTCCAACAAATTCACAGCCGTTGTCTAGTAGTTGCCACCTGAGGAATTCAACCAGTTTCAACATTCGGCTGTAAAACCGCTGGCAGACGATATCTAATTGATGCGGTAACACCCCAACCTCGTTCAACAACTATTATAAATCACCTGCTATGCAGGAAATAAAAAGATAATATGTAAGTCCCGACCGAGCCCTCCGCTTTGCCCTGAAATATTATCACGTCGCTCGACATGCTAATAAACAAAATAAACAGCGTTCGGTTGTTTACACTAAATGCATGTATAATGTAGCTTACCATGATTGTGTCTCGCCGATCAACTGCTATAAATCCGTGGTCGGTCGTAATGGCCGCCATATTTCCTCCAGAAGCTCTGAACTTCGCGGCGATATTTCTTGTCCGTTTGTTTGACTATTTAATGTGGAAGAGTGCTAGAAAAACACTCCGAAGTTGGGAGTTAGTGATAAAGCTCTTCGCGTAAAAAGGTATGTTATTTAGGTAAAGTTTTTGTGTCAATGTTATTCGTAGTTTCAAAATGAAAAGGGAACAAGTGTTTGAGTGCTGAAAACCGAACTGTTATCACATTCACGAAGTTTCTGGCATGACTTGGAGAGTCATTCATTTAAGTATTCATCATGCACATTGATCTTTCACAGAATAATGTAAAGGAAACGCAAAGTATTGTGGGTAGCTTCCCGCCATGACCAATACAGGTACATTCTGATGTGCGCACGACGCGTGCACCAAGGAAGTGTCGACCCCAGGTTATAACGTGATTTGTCCAATTAGAGCTCATAAAAATCTGCCCCTGGAAAAGGTAACAAGAGAAGAGTTTGGAGCGAAAAAAAGCCTCACGAAAATGTCGTTGCCCTGGGTATGAGCTTTCTTAACATGGCAATATACTCCAATGGTAATGGAGCTGTATATCGATCACATTATAACGATCCAGTGCAAGAAAAAATCGACAACAGCTGAGAGTTATCAAATAATGTTTGGATGTAAAAGTTGATCTGCGCATGCCGGCACTTTTGTGCCTGAACAGAACTGTAGCCGAATATTTTATGGTTGGCCTTAAAAAGTAGGTTGCCCCGGCAGCATCGTCATCAAAATGTCACGAATGATCATGAGTATGGCGATTGAGTTTCTTTATGGAGTATGTGCAGCATGATCAAGGAACATTTCGGTTGGAAGGACGTTTATCATCAAGGGCTACGTGCATTGCATCTGAATTTTACGGACAGCAACTGTAAATTTGACCCATTTTAAAGTGTCTGCATTTCGACACCCCTACTGACCCGAAAAGGTTGTTTTGACCAAGTCCAATCAGATCGTCGGTATATGAAAATGTCTGTTCCTGCGCAGGTGGAAGGATTCGTGTTTATACAGGGTGATGGGTTAGGCAAGCAAACCGGATGAAGTCCTGCCAAACTTGAACGTCAGATAATGTCAGAGGTTAGGGTGAAACATGAAAAATGAATGTGGTTTTAGGCTTTGCGTGTTGAAGGGTATATTGTTTCCCGAGGAGGTGCCGATAGAACGAATATTCTTCTGATGACGATCAGAGTACACTGACTGAAACGTCGAGTTAAAACCTGTGGTTCCTCAAACCACAGTGCTGTTTAATAGTCTCCAACAGTCGTGTCATTTACGTGTCTGAACTCGTTATGCAGTTCCCCCAATTCTTGTCAGAACCACACAAACTCACGTAAGAGATTTTTTTTGTCACATGGTGCAATCGCAAATTTACTTTTGTTTTAGAGTATCTGCAAACTTATCTAACTGGTAAAAAAAATGAAATCCTCCAACTTTACTGCAGGAATTTGAAAGAAGTACCATTGCGGAACGCAGGCACAAAGGTTCAGCTTTCGCTTTCCGAAGCACCATTAAAACGGTGATGTTTATTCACATCGACAAGCGAAACGAAGCAGTAGTCTTCTTCGTGTTTGCTCAAAAATTGTCCGTGAAAAAAACATACCTTCATGGAGAGAAAAGCCCAACAAATGATCGCACCTCAATACTCAGCCCAGTCGGGCACGCCCGTCGGGAATCGAGCAAATAAAGATCGGCTGGCCTTGCGTGGTCGGAAGAAACCCGTAGGCTACGTACGGGGCTTATAGACCACGAACACCGCTATAGAGAAGAGGAATTGTTACCAAGCTGTCGCCCGTGCATGCCACACCAGTTTTTCTTCGCGTGTAAATAACGAGTTTTCACACGTAAATAAAAGGTTTTAAGTAGACACAGGACACCACAAATAAGATTACACGGGTGTTGTGTACTCTGAAATTATGGGACGAATGTATTTTCGGAGCGTTTTGTGTACCGTAACCAAGTCCATAGTCTGCAGCGTATATGGGAATGTGTGTTGTTTGTCTATAGGGATCATGGATGTGGCGCTACCAGTAAGTCTCAACGGGTGTTCGTTAATGCAAAGGGACTTTTACAATTGCTGAACAATGCACCTGTTTATGCCTTCCGATTGTTGTCAACGGCAAGAAGGCCTTGTTTGATGACTTCGCTTTCCCCTGAAAAAAAAGCAAGAATGCGACATAAGTATCACTAAGGTTGATTTATTGAACTGATAAATATGTTGTTGAAAAAGAAACCCTTCTCAGAATCATGGAGACAATGCAAGAAATGTCTACCGTGGTTTTGAGTGGCACCTTTCAATTCTACATGAACGAAAAAAGTAACCTTAGCAAGTCACTGCGCCGTTGTAATTAGAACCTTTCTTCCACGAAGAATGTAGCTGTTGACGATTGTGGTATATTACCGAGTCGAACAACTCAGAAGCAACCGTTGTTAGGTTTCGCTGTCGGCGGTGCCAATCTTATCGACCAATCTGGGCACGCTATCAATTCTATCACGAAGGCCCTCTTCAATGGCGAAAGCACTGGCTAGCTATTGTTCAGATAATCTGTCATGGGACAGTTGCTTTGGTTTGGTTTCTCCTTTGAAGGGGGCTCGTGAGGGTACGCATGGAGGTAGAATTATTGAGCACATTCGTCTATACATGTACCTAAATACGTACAGTAAGAGTAGCAAACACAAGTTTGAAAAAAAAATAGTTACCAACGAAAAAGCCATGCAGTTAATATGTATATGTGACTGGCTCCCACCTATGTGCTAATCACATCAATTTCAAAGCATTGTTTTCCGCTAAGAAGGTTTATGCATTTGGCCCAAGAGCCTAATACATGTACAAATCAAACCTTGAAAAGTTAATTTGGTTTCTGCCGAAAATTATTATACATGTCTTATTTTGTCTTGAATTGAACAGCGGCAGAGCAGATTCAGTACGCCATTGCCAGACACCATCAGGCGAATATAACCCACCACAACGCCTGCCACACAGTGCCGTCCATTGCTTCGACTCCATTTGGGTAAGTCATGCTTTTAAGTTTTACAACTTCACATATTTTACATTCGTTCATCAGTAGTGTTCTTACCAATAAACGAGAACAGGCGCTTTTTAAATTGTGCAAAAGGTATAGCCTCAGTGTTGTTCCCAAAGGCATGCGTGTGTTTTAAACACCGATTTGTAGAATGTTACAGGTTTTTAGAACGCGAGAAGTTACGAGGTTCTTCGTATAACTTTTATTTATTAACTGGCTTCAAAGCATATATCATTTTATTCTTTTCAACGAAGGGATTTTATTTATTAAACTTTTTAATGTCTTACGAATACAAACTATTATTTTCAAAAACCTAGTCCTATAAGTTTAAAAATGGTATGATGTAATTTATACCAAACAGCAGATGTTCTATATAGAACCACCAGCTATTACGTCACTTTCCATATAAGCAAAATAACTGGAATATCTCAACATTCTATAATTTTGTTCAAGCTCTGTTACACCGAGGATATTCGTTCTTTATTTTATTACAAAACCAAGAAGTCATTCCTTGTGTTATTTCAGCCGTGAACTAGCCACGTAATGTCCCATCAGCTTCGAGCGCGTGTGGTCATAGCGAAATCGCCGGACATAAAACACGCCCCTGCTATCTTTATTATCAAAACGATTGACGTTTCTACAGCTGATAAAATATTTTTGCGCTCAAGATTGTGTACAGGGCATGATAGTAATTATAATTATCACACCGCAGTGACCGCACACACATCGTTAAATGACGTAAATCTTTCCAAACGAAGATTTTTTTCTCTTAATTCCCAAACATCGCACTGACTTACCTACATGAACGTCAAATCATTTATGTACAGTTATAATTCGCCACATCGGCCAGTGATGTATTTTATACCATTGGTATAATGGTCTCTAAAGTTGTGTTTAAGATTTAGAAAAAAAGATATGTAAAACTTAGAAAATTACTTTAGTTTTTATGCTGCAAGAATAAGCATTGATACATTACCAGTTATCTACCTAAGATAGCAATCCTCGTCGATGAACTACCTCTGTTTTGTTTTCGATGTAAACGTCTCTGCCTGAACGTTTGCCACTGTAGCCTGCTTTTATGTGTACTCAACTCTTCTTTGCTTTCATGGCTTTTATTCCGTAGGCTTGTAACTTAAAATAAGACCAGCAACAGCCAGGCTATGGAGAGTTATTTTCTCCCCGCTGTGCTTGTGAAAGGTCAGAGGTCATATCCAAGATGGCGTCTGGGCGGGAATCGCTGAAATTCTCAGATTTTTCAAGGTTGGAAACGTGACATGTTGTGAAGTTATTTGATTGAGTTTTTTGTGACGGTTCGTGGCCTGGGTTTGTTTCTTTTTCACGGAGTGTTGTGGGAATGATAACTTGTGTCCGTATATAAAGCAGCATTTCTTTTTTAAAGCTTAGTGAAACTTAAAACAAAATCTCTTTCGATGAAGGACTTAAAATGCTCGATTCTTTCCACTAGATGCGGTGATTAAAAATGCGCCTTTTGCAAACTGAATGATTATCATCTAGGGCAAAACGCATGGTTTGTCGAAGAGAGAAATTAATTCATATTTTGGTTTTTGGTTTTCTTTTGATTTTATTTAACTGTCATCATTTTTTTATGCCGTGCACAAAAACAACTTGATTTGCAGTGTAATCTGATTGAAGTTTAATTAATATCAAATTGATGTGAAACAAGACGGGAACTGTTAACACGGTCCAATGGAAAGTTCATCTTGCTTTAGATTTAGAATCGATTTCATGTCCAAACTTTTACGCACTATGGTAGTTTTATTAGGAGCAAACTTCCTTTTGTACCATTTTCTTTTCTTTTTTACTTGATATCTTTATCGTTTTTTCTTGTACTTTTCTGTTTCCTCTTCTCTTCCTGTGGTTGTGTCTTCTACTGTTTTCGGTCTGATGTTTTTTTGGGTTCTTTTAAGGCTTAAATTCCAGTTCTTCAATTTCCTTTCTGAATTCATCGGTTGCCTTTAAGTTTGTGTCATTGAAAGCCTGTATTATAAAAAGTGTCACACCGTCAACAAGTGTTGATGAATTTTTAATAGCAAAGTGATCGAAATTTTCGGACCATACAAATACCAAATATCGATTCCAGAACGACCCATGTGCAGTTTGTGATCTGAAGCCGACAGAGCGCACCACTGATGTATAATCTTCATCGACCTGGTCTTATTGATCAATAATCATCCATAATGCTCCCGTATCGATTGGTATCGATCAATTGGGGCCCGGCAGACACTCGAGCCACGACGAATCAATATGTCTGTTTGTCGTCCGAGAGATTAGCTTTTCAAAAGCCCTGAAAAAAATATCGGTTTTTGTGACATGGCTTTTGAGCTCTAAGCCGGCAAACCTGTGTCTTCCTCCGTGTGGATTAGACGTTGATTGATGAATAATTGACAAGAGTCATTCTCTCAAAAGATTAATAAAATGAGGCAAGGATGATGTGGTTTGGATTGTAACTGTATCTTCGACTTGTAATAATGGAATCATTGAGGCGAAGGCAAATTTAAAGTACAGTAATTCGATATTATCCTTGAACGATTCAATACCCATTATTAATCTAGTCTTGTTGAAAAGTTGTTAAACACACCACTCCTTTCGAAAAAGAATGATACGCTTTCGTAATGTTTTTTTTCTGACCAAATATCACATTATATATACCAACATAAAAAGTAGCAAATAATAACTCGTTTACCTGGTAGACCTTTATACCGACAGGTGTTTTCTTTTTAATTGATTGAAAAAAAGTATACTTATAAGGATTATGGGTAGAACGCTCATTTCTAAAATGGCCATGGAACGTGTTTAAAAACGAAAAACGCTCATTGATTTTCTGAAAAGCCAGCAACTCGGTCGTTAGTTTAGATAACGGTTTTTCATTCGAATGGGTATATGTTGCGCGGCAAAATCGCCTGCTGCTTCTTTTGAAGCAATATTTCCTTTGAAACTTCATAAATGACTGAAAATAGGTCGAGTGTAAAACTTAACGTTTTCCCGAGATTTTAGTTACTTCGCTGAGATGTGGAGCACAGCAGACGTTTGGAAACATAGACGTGTTGTTGGAAATGTGTTATTTTTGAAAAATTAACACTTGATAACGTTTTTAAGTGTTTGTAGGGCTAAGATGTTCTCTATTTCTTTGCAGTCGTCAAAACATAAATGTGTTACGTATGATTTTGGCCTGAATTTTATGCACTAATTGTTTTATTTGTTTTAGAGTTTTTGTGGATATAATTTTAAATCCTTCACGTTTTCATTGGGGATGGAAAGGTGGAAGGATCATTAACGTGTGATCTAAATATGTTGCTGATAAGAAAATGTTCAAAACTGAAGTTGGTCACGGTTTTTTTCTTTGGAATATCCAACTTTCTTCAAATTAACGAATATCTGGCAGACTTAGAGCTATAGATCCAAAATTCCAACCTTGATATGTTCTTATGTCATCGGTCGGGAAGAATATCTTGGGCAGCTGTAACTGAGCCTCGCGATAAATCTTCATTTGGCTGTAATACAATCTTCACCAACATTTTAATAGGATTCGACAGTGTGATAACTCCATTATAGCAAAGTCACGGTCGTATAGAACCCGGCGACCTCAGTGAACTATGTAAATGAAGTTGTTAAAACACTGATATTTTATCTTGAAGTGCACCCTGGTGTCACTAACCTTAAGGTATTTTTTTGTGCTCAAGTATGGACAAGAGGAATTGCGCCGTAGGGCTGTAGAGGTCTAGTGTACCATGCTATTAATGGACATGTTTTGAAAACGATAACCAATCCATCACAGATAATGTGTGTCAGCTTCAATTTTTAAACTCCAAAAAAAAAGTCAAAGTGAAAAAATTATAATAATTGAAAATGGATGAATTTTCCATAAGCGAATTTGTCAATGTGTTACTAATCGGGAATTTATTTTGGTTATGGCGAGGTTGGATGTTGTGGGTTGTTTCATTTGATAGAAACCGGGCAAGTCATGTGATGGAATGAGATTGATGACTTTGTTTAATAGAGTGGATGCAACAAAAAGTAAATATACTTTGCACATAAAAATTGCACATTGATGTGTTATTTTTACGGAAAGAAACAAAAATCCAGAAAAAAAAAAGAAAATTACTGTTTTTTATTTATATATTTTGGTAGTATTTAGAATGATAATCATGTCATTTAAAGACTGTAGGCTAAGCTTTTATGGTTAGCAAATTTGTATACTCTGAAGTTATTTTTTAAAAGAAAAGTTGGTTTCGTCTTTGTAGTCTTTGATTGTGAAACGGTGTCCTCTTATTGGAGGAAAATTGACAATCAGTACAGTTCGAATGGATAGGATTTTGGCTCTATCAGTTTCTGACGGTGTTCCTTCATTGAAGAAAAAAAATCCCATTTTGATATACCTGTACATATTTGATTGCAAATCATGGGCCGTAAAATTGAACAGCTTGATTATTGAATTGAACTCAGGAAAAGGTGTCAATGAAACGTCAGTCCAGATTGATCAAAATTGCCGATTGCAGTCTTTTGCTAGCGTGTGAAAACATCTCGCTCGTTAAATTGGATTGTCAGACAAACAGAGATATAAATTGATGTTGGCATGTTATTAAACATTGTGTACAAAGTATTTCGCGCTTCAAAGTTTACACCTAAAAAAAACTGCAGCTGTGCAGCAGACAAGCTTGAAAACTAAAATGTCATAGACTGAGTATGTCAAACCAAAATCACGTTAACAGTTTAAGATTTGCCATGGCATATCTTTAGACGGCTATTGTCTGGCTTATTATAGTGGTTTTGTATAAATAGCCATTCCTTATGGTTGTGTTGTGTAATTCATAACTTTGGGCATTCACAGGACAATTTACTACACTCAGTTTGGGTCGCACGGTTCTGCATTCTGTAACAAAGACATACAGTTAATACTTTGAACCACAAAGCCCATTGCAATTTGTATCTTATAGAAAGTAAAAGATTGCATTTTAGATAAGGCATAG